GAGTCTTTGCCCTGACCATAGCCCACGTTTTGGCAGTCTGCAGCACCTTCTTCGCGAAAAGGAAGTCCCAGAAGGTAACCTACAGCAGTGGAGGGAAAGAAACGGAAAGATATCATGTGCTAGTAAGAAGATCGTCCCTCAAAGCTGTAAAGGACACCAAGGTACTGCCCGGAGGAGATCTGGCTCCACAGCACAGACCTCTTCTAGCAGGCATAGCCATCGATCTTCCTAAGAAGTCAAGGACAAGAACGGAACGGGGGATCCGGTGGTGGAAGTTGCACCAATTTGAAAGAGAACACCTAAAAGAGAAGGTTCTAGAAGATGGACTTCTACACCACGAAAAGCCGATCCAGTAGACCTAGAGCAAAGCTGTGAAGGTCATCCTGCGATGTGCAAAGGAAACGCTGGGGTAAACTCGAAGTGGTTTCCGAGGCGACAAGGAAGCATGCTTCAGAAATGATGAAGTCCAACGAGTTGTGAGGCAGAAGACGTCTTTTGCCAGCTCACAACGTCTTTTGCCAGCTCACAAGCGCTGGCAAAAGACGCGAGCTCCAGAGGACCTAGCTGCCTACAAAACTTCCAAAAGGCTCGCCAAGGCTGCTGTCGCGAAGGCGAAGAACGGAAATGGACACCTTGTATGAGAAGCTCCGAAGTCGAGAAGGAGGGAAGTTCGTCTTACGCCTGGCGAAAGCGCGTCACCGCGCCACTCAGGATATCGGGGTAGTGAAGTCCTTCAGGAACAGCGTGGGTGCAGATTTGAGAAAGCCTAGCGAAATCAGGCGTAGGTGGGAGGAAAACTTCGACGGGATCCTCAACGAAAAATGCACCCGTAAGAACAGCTTCCAGTTAGAGGTAACGGCTGGCCCCATCAATCTCTGGACAGAGAATGAGGTGCGTAGAGCAATGGGAAAGATGAAGGTTGGGAAGGCAACTGGATCGGATGGAGTACCGATCGAGGCATGGAAGGCGCTCGGGGGAGCAGGGGAAGAAGTGGCTCACCCGATTCCTGAACACTGTCATCGCTAAAGGAAGAATCCCAGATGAGGATGAGGAGTACTATCGTTCCCATTTTCATACAGAAGGGGATGCGATGGAGTGTTCCAACTACCGAGGGATTAGGTTGACTGCTCACACGATGAAACTGTACGAGCGACTGGTCGACTTAAGATTGAAAGAATTGGTCAAATTCGTTCGGGTTCATGCCTGAAAGGTCTACAACGGATGCCATCTTCATAGCTAGGCAAGTTATGGAGAAGTATCGAGAGAAGCGTAGATCCTGCTAGCTAGCCTTCCTCTATCTGGATAAGGCTTTCGACTGTCTCTCGCGACTAGTCCTTTGGAGAGCGCTTCGAAAACGAAAGGCTCCAGAGCACCTGATCTCTCTGGTGAAGGACATGTACGATGGCTCCACCACAACATTTCGCACCCCACAAGGCCAAACCGGAGCAATAGACGTCACGGTTGGGGTATACCAGGGATTAGCTCTGAGCCCGTTCCTCTTCTTGCTCACGATGGACGTCATCACAGAAGAACTCATGGATGGACCACTGAAGACCATCCTCTACGCTGATGACGTCNCTCTGATAGCGGAGAGCAAGGAAGAATTCCAGGACAAACTCGAGAATTGGCAGAGGGTATTGGCGGAGAATGGACTCCGGCTGAACGTGAAGAAGACCAATTCCTCAGCTCCGAGAAGGGCACGGAGTCAATTGTCGGCGGTCGCGGGGAAGCCATCGAGAAGGTCCAGGACCTCCGCTACCTGGGAAGTGATCTAGCCGCTGATGGTAGAGTGGACCAGGCCGTAAAATCCCGAATAAATGCGGCATGGATGAAGTGGAGGGAGTCCACCGGTATCGTCGGTGCTCCAGAACCCTTAAAGGAAAGGTGTATCGGATAGTGGTAGGGCCCACGATGCTCTACGGCAGCGAGTGTTGGCCCGTGAGTAAATCCCATGAAGGACAGCTGCACTCCGCCGAAATGAGAATGCTCAGATGGGCTGGACGCGGCTGCATCGGGTACTATGCAAACAGCCCCAGTTCAACTGAAGATGGGAGAGCAGCGCCTGCGACGGTTCGGGCATGTACTAAAAAGACCACAGAGCTATTCGATAAGGGAAGCAATGGAGTTCGAGGCTCAAGGTAAGCGACACCGTGGAGCCCCCAAGAAGAGATGGCGGGACATGATCAAGAAGGACCTCGCCAAGCCAAGGTGACGGCAGAAGATGCCGCAGATAGAATGAAATGGAGACGGCCGACAAGAACAGCGGACCCTGCGACGGCGCGGGATTAACGCTAGGGAGAAGAAGAAGAAGAATGTTTACAATCTGGTCCTTTGTGAGAACTGTAACTATATCGCACCAATGTGATCCCTTCAAATTGATGGCGTAACCTTCTCTTGATGAAGATCAGCTGGAACTGCGTGCGTGGGGATCACATTACGACAATTGATAATATACGTACCCTCCGTGGGGTAGGAGAAAGACGTCCGCTGTTGCCCACAGCTCACCGGACGGCGTCACGCTGTGACAGCGGAACAGAGATAGGTTGGGGCGTGCAAGACGTTCAGCGCTCACCGTCGCATCAGCGACAGTATTGATGCGTCTCAAAAGCCATTAGGTATTAATAGTAAAAACGCACTTATTTCTTAGCTGTATGGAGGGTATATATATATTAGTTGTCATATTGTGATCCCTACTAACTCAAAGACCCCTTGCCGTTATCCTGCAAAAGGCAACGTTTGGGATATGGAAAGATTTTTTTTGGAAAGCTTCGGCAGAGCATGTAATTAGTAATCAGTTGGCAGACGCCAGTGACGCCAACTACAATACCTTAATGCTCACTTCTCTGATTGGCAGTTGAGGGTCGCACCTAGTCTTCTAGGGATTGTAGATACAGTATAGGACGCTTTTCAGTACTCAGAGTCCCAGAAGTCTCAGTTACAAAAGTTTCCAGTCAAAAGTTAGTTTGTTGCCGTGAATATTGTTGCAATAGTGAGAAGGAAAGAATTTCCTTGGGCGATTACAGAGCAATATTTGAGTAATAAAATAAAATGTTTCTAGTTCCATAAATGAAGAATGCTGCACCTTTGATCCGTGGCTTGCAAAATGATTGGAATAGTTGTTCGATGAAATCCATGGGCAGTTCAACGTCGAAATACTCGGAAAGAAAAACACAAAATCCATCGAGATTGATCAACTGGTTTCCCTAAAACGGACATGTTCTTCTGAGGAGATTTTGCAGCTGTGAACTCAGAAGAATGTGAAGGGAGCAAAGAAGAGTGGACAAACTTTGCCGTCATCAACCGTGTAGCAGTGAAACTTTCCATCGGGTCGAAAATCGAGCAGCATGTCCTTGACTTTGTGGTTTGAATCTATAAAGAGCACCTGATTCGAATCACGCCTTGGAGTAGAGCAATTATATGCTAGAGAGCTTATTGCAAATAGTATGGTAACCTCCCCGACTTGCGATTGTGACCAAAAGAATGTGATGCAGCTCTACTCAAAGGCGCAGTTCACTATAAAATTGGTTTCTGAGATTCCCCCATAGGAAGAATTCGAAGTCCCCTCGTTTACCATATCCAGCGCTATCAGCTCGGAAAACGGCACGGCCTAGTTAGGACGTTATAAAGGCTCAGAGATTGTATCGTGTGTATCCTCAGACGAGTTTCACCAGCATTGCAGAGGCTGCACCATTCACAAGGGAACCCATGTAGGAGGCCCCAGAAGCTTGCAGCGTCAGTGAAAGACAGTTCTTTTCAGTTCCGACTTGATTAGTCAGCTCTTTGCGCAACTGCAACAACTAAAATCTCGTCCAATATCTCTTCCATGTTATTTTCGTTATGGTAGTCTCGTCCAACCTTTATTTTCGCTGTTTTTGAGGAGCTTTATTTTCCTCGGAACTGGCGAATTTCCTTGCTTTCTTCACTACTGATGAAATATTCCCAACCTATACTCCCGCCGTTCGAAAAAGAAGGCACCTCAAAATAATCGTGAACTATGCCTTTACGAAATTCAGAGACACCGCTACAAGATACCTGAAACTCTCTAAGGCGGCAGTTCAGTTACAAACGACAATTTTTCAGCTAATGGTGCCTTCAGTTTCATGAAAAATTGCTGCAAGAGAAACTAGATTAGTTGACAGAAAAATTCTGTTGAAGCTTATAAATACATATGAAGATCCAGAGCCCGGCTAGTAACTCGATAAGTCTACAGTCTATGCGATCTGCTCAAATTAGAAGGACAACTGTTCGTTGCGATACTTTGTGTAAAAAAAGTAGAAGTGGCATCGGTAACTAATGATACCTCTTCATGCGACACAAAACAATATTATGAAAATGCATTAGCGAATCGCATGAAACCAAAGAATAATCATAGGAGCGTCGGTCAATGAACTCCCAGGAATGACTACATACTAGTTAGAGGGCAAAGCGCTCATCCTTGGAAAGACGTCCAACCTGTTCTACGAACCATCCCTGTGAGATTTTCCCAAATGCGGAGAAAAAGGTTACTTAACAAAAACAACAAAACGATGTCATCAGAGATTGAGGGGATTGAAGGAAACGTGTCCTCCTCTAGAGGCAGTTCACCCTCTTTTGAATGGATTCTCTAAAGTTTACCTGCATGAGCTAGTAATCTCTATATTTTGAGTGACTTCCTGGTAATCAGCTTCTTTGAAGCAGAGATGTAGTGTTTGCACAAATACGCATTCAAGAAATTCTTTTAATGACCATTTCTTTTATAGAGACTACTGAAGAATTCTCGCCAGTGGCGGACGACTTCTTCGAGTAGTTCTCCTCTTAATTTAGTACTATTATCATCGGGGATAGATTAAGTTTCCAAAGCAGCAAACTACCCCGCAGTTCATCCTTTCGATAGGGGGTATCACTAAGATTAGTTAAATCCCTTCGAGGAAGCCAAAAAACGGTTTGCGAGAGGCTTCTCAGAGCTCAGTTGTCGTAATCAAGCCCATACGACTTTAATTCACTATTGGTAGCCTTCAAGGGATTACGCGCTTTGGGGAGGAATGGTGATAGAAAAGTTTAGTCAAAAAGCGAGAGAAGATGGATTCTTATTGAGTAACACTACTCTTCTCACCACCTCTATCAATGCATCACATCTTCTGAATGCTGTAACTTCTACATGACGCCATGGAATTCTGAAAAGGAAGATGGCAAGCATGTAACGAATCATCTGGAGCATCTCAGACCGAGCAACGTAACAACTCTGAGTTGTGCGACGTGAGTTTCCCCGGCATGTGGGCCTCTAGGCACCTCAAAAAAGGCAAACACCGGCTGTCTCAATCTTTGGCCTATTTCGGGATGTGGATGGTTCCTGTAGTGAAAAAGATTGGTGGATATTTGAGCGACGAAAAGTGAGGGAAGCACAAAATGTTCAGTTTTTGGATTTAGAAATGTAACAAAACACTTATGAAGGTCGACTAAATTTCACTTTAATCAGAGAAAAACGGCGTGCCTAAGCTCCAAATATCAAAAAAAAAGGAGTGCAGAAGATCTTTTCAAAGACCTTCTGACACGCTGAGATTTCCGCAGATAGAGAGAAAGGCGTTGTAGCAGGAAAGCTAATTATTGTATTATTTAACAGCTCATGTATGAACGAATAGGTTATTGGCGCAGGCATGGGACCTACAAATAAATGCTTCAATTTCTGTGTGATGTTACATTTCTTCAAAATCACGTCCAGGTAAAAGGACGTTCCCAAGAGGCACTTGGCGAAACCAGAAGTCAGTTGACGTTCGGCTTCGAAGTCCAAGATGTCTACCAGTTTAAAAAATAAAGATTCTAGCGTTAATCAATCTAGTCTGAGGAGTGCCCCCCCCCCCTGCACTCGACTTCCATTCAGAATCTCGTGGCGTAATGAGTGCGTATATGGCATATACACTGACTAGCGGTGGCCAGGCTATGTATAATACATGTCAGTGCTTTTATCCTCCCGGACGAGTCTGGAACCAATCAAGCGACCTCGGAGGGATGGAAGGCTTGGTTGGCCTAGGCAGATATCGATAAGGGTTTGAACCCTTGGCCATGCGTGTCTGAAGTTCGCCACTCGCCACTACACCACTTCCGCCAGGCTACCAGTTTATTGGCAACAAATGTTTAGAAGGACTGATCAATACGTTCAGGACCTGAATAATAAAGGAGCAATGAGGCTCCTGGAAGCGGCCTACCAATCTGGAAGACCTCATTTTTAGTCTCCTTTCTTCTAATGATCTATTTCGTCTTCCCACAGTACTTATACAAGAAGCGAAGAGAAGAGAAGAAAACAACTCACATGAGGCATATTCGCTAAGCCGCGAGAACTGCTCCGGTGTAAGGACCATCAGTCGCGTTAAAAAAGGGAGGCGATGACAAGGGCAGTTGGCTCAAACGTTACTTGGCCCCATTATCCTGTACTTGGCACCGTCGTTGTCTTGCAGAGGCTGGAAGGCGTGGATGTGATGAAGGTAAATGTTAATGTAGCCAGCTTTCATCGATACGGATTAGCGGGGATTAGAGAAGACGGCAAATAATATATCATCAGCTCCTTTCACAATCCCTCTTCAGTAGATTGCCGCATTTGTTCATCCCATTTTACGAACAATTTCCTTACCTGAAACATTTACTATAATCCAGTGAATAGGCCATTGAGAATTACATGAATTTTAGCTCAGTAAATTTGCCTGGATCAATCGAATCGTGTGAGTTGAGATGTCTCCATGACAATTGCTTGTCAAACTTTCATCGGCTTCTGATCGAGGTCAACCACTAACTTCTGCTCCCTTCTTTTCCTTGCGCCATTTCCAGATTACAATAGCTTCCCCATTATATCGCAAGACTTAATTGTGATGCTTGGTGAAGAATAACGCATCAAAGAATCAGAGGAGAGACAACAAATGTAAACAGTGGAAACAAACAAAGGAATCAATGTATCCTGATAAAACTTAACCAATGCCCTCCTTCTGTTTCAATCTTTTCTATGGAGTTGTAAATTTGAAACAATCGTGCAGACGAAACTCATTTGTACAATTTTCTATCAACCACTGAAGGTCCATTCGAATAAGCTTCAATGAAATCAAAATAGGTCTGAACGTGCTTTTTTGAGTTAATTCTGAGTTAAAGGCACTGTTAACAAAAAAGTAAAGGTACCCTTTTTTTGACGGTAATAGGTAGAACTACTTCAGAATAAAGCGATAACAACGAAAAAGCGCAAAAAAACGA